AGGGAAGACAGACAGGTTGGAAGGAAGGAGCGAAAGAAGCTGAGAGAGGCAGGTTTGGAAGGTGCCTTAAAAATGGATACCGAAGTCTGCGCTGGCCACTCAAAGCCAGCCAAGGCCGGTCACCCACCTCTCCACAGCGGCCACGTTCCCAGCCGCACCCCCACCCACCCAGCCCGGTCGGGACCTCCTCCGGACCAGACGACGGCATACAGACCGCCACGGCGCGCAACAGTGGCACCGCCTCCCCCGCGTCAGCGCCCGCCCCGCGCCGCGTCCTCACTGCCGCCGCCGCCGGGATCTGCGGTTCGCCGCCGCACATTCCACACGCGGCCCAAACAGCCTCGCTCTTTCAAAGACCCCTCTTTCCGCCTTTCTTTTCTCCTGAGGCTCTTGGAAAAATTGGAGAAGGCTTAAATACAAAGTAAATCAACTTTCATGGAGATTTCGAGGATTTAAAAGACTAAACAGGACGTCCATCTTGCAGCGAAAGTGCGTGTTCCATTAGGCATGTGGATTTACCCCGTAGCCTTCTTTCTCCCCTCCCACCCCCCCCGCCTTCACCGAAGCGGATGAAAACAAACAGTGACGATGGCGGCGCCAGGAAGCGACCGGCTGCTGGGCGTGAGGCAGGAGTGATCGCTTGACCAGTGAGGGAACCCCTGAAGAGCGCCGGTCGACGGGACTGCGACAAATCGCGCGATCTTGGGAGCAAAACGCCCGAGGCCTGCGAGCCAGGAGCCTCCTGAAGCGTGAGGTATCTGTCTGCGACGTGTGCTGTCACTGCAGCCCCGGAGCGCGGAACCCTCAGCCAGCGGCGCGGCTGGCCGGTCCCAGGCTCAGGCCTTCGTAATGAGAGCCCCGAGCCTCTCTGTGTGCCGCAGCTTCGCAGGTACTAATTTTGGGGGGATACCCCCAGTTCCCTCAGCGCCCCCGGCTGGGAGACTATGGATCTGCGGCCCGTCGGGTGGCTCCGTGTGGAAGCCGAAGCCCACTGGCCGCGATTGGGTCCCCTGAGCCCTTGAGTTATCTTGGGGAAGTTGGGTTGGTGTAGGCCCCATTGGTCCTTGATTGTTCCCGGTCCTTACAGGGATTCCCAGAACATTCCTCTCTACTTTCTCAGTTGTTTGGGTTAGGTTGTAAGGCTTTGGGGAAGTAATTTGTGGGGCCCTAACTCCGGGGTTGGCTACCAATATGAGTGAGGTTGGTTTTTCATTCAATCAAGATTTGTTAAGTGCCAAATATGTACTCCACGTGTAGGTGAGGGAGACTGTTGACTAGTGAAAAAAGGTACCTAAGGTTCACGACTATCTTCTTACTGGCAGTGGAACGACCTGTGGAAACCAGCGATCCATTCTCATTAAATTAATCTCTGGGTAAGTGGCTAAGCGTCTTCTTGGGCTCATCACTAACTCATCTAAGTTTTCACTTTCCCAGTTAGTCTGGTAAATTTGGTGTAGCATTTCACTTTTAGTATTTCTTCCTCCTCTGGCCATCCCACAGCCAAAGGAGATAGAGGTAGGGAAAATTAATGAAAAAAAGAACTAATTTTCTCATTATGCTTAATTTAAAACTCACCTCCTAAAGTGGTAGAATTTATTGGACATCTTTAATGGGAGATATGCAGTAATAAGAAACAACTGACCCTTCCTTTACACTAAATTTACTTCCAGATTTTGGTGGTGTTTTATGAGTGTTAGTCCTTTTCATGTATGGATATTGTGGCTCCAACTAAATTACAAGTTTTTTCGTTTCCAACTCTCTGTTTTTTAGTTCTGGATAAGTCTTAAAAATGCTTGTAGAATGGAATACTGACTTTTAATACATTTAATACATAGTGGATGATGAGTTAAGTGCTGAAGTCACATATACTAATTTGTAGTGAGATATAGTTAATTCATGCATTGTTTCCACATTGTCCCACTTTTGGTATAAAGTTAAAAAGGCTATGGCAACTCTTGAGATTCAAGGCTGACAAAAATTGCAAACCACTGGATTTTCCATTACTGTACTTCAACCTAATAGATTATATTGTATATTTGTGGGGTTTTCTCCCCTCAGGAGTAGTTGTTTTGTGTTTTTTTTTTGTTTTTTTTTTTTTTGAGACAGTCTTGCTCTGTCACCCTGGCTAGAGTGCCATGGCATCAGCCTAGCTCTGCAACTTCAAACTCCTGGGCTCAAGTGATCCTCTTGCCTCAGCCTCCCTACAGACATGCCCCAC